GAGGAAGTCTGCACCTAGCGTGAGCCATTGAGCCACCGGATGAAGCCACCGAACGCCCGAGCCATGGAGCCATTGCCACGTAGGATTCATGGCTATCGCTCGTGCTCGAGGGTGTCCAAAGAAACTCCTACCGATGTTCATGCCATACCGGGCAGGACTTGAGCCGTCCTTGGTCGCAGAAACAGAAAACACCCTGCTACTTTGCCGTTGCCCCACAAGAAGCAAAACTGGCTGCTGCGACGGGCCTACAGGCGTTGACAGAGAAGGCAGTCGCGGCAACAGTACATGCGTTTAGAGTGCCGGCTCTCCTGCTTGATCTTCGAGTCGAGATCCGCATACCGTTTGGAAACCACCTGAGGGATGAGGGGGATGGCCTTCTCAGAATCAATGGGATGGGTTTAAGAATTACTGCCAAGACAGGGCCTCAAGATGAAGCCAGATTCTGCAGCTGTACTACCTACACCTCCATGACAGCCCTGATTTGTCACCCCGCCTGGATGCAGGCTGTGCAGGCGAAGCCATCGAGACCTCTTGAAGGGCTGACATGGGTGATCTATGTGACCTACGCTACGTGCACTCTACGGAAATACGCTATGATCTAGTCCGAGAACCCATGAAAGTCTTTGGTGCACGGATCTCAGAGTTTTTTCAGCCCATTGTCCACTTTCAGGGTTTAGGTTCCGAGGTCACATCCTCTTCCTTCTTTTAAACGGGTTTTCCATCGCAGAGAGCAGGACCCAATAAAGCCCAACATGCCCTGTCAAGATATCGGGCCAAGCGTGGGCGACTTGCGCAAGGCTACCGGACAGGTCCCACATTGGACAGCTGAAGCCAGCGGACTGCGGACTGACTCCAACTGAACCTGCTTGGAACCTCAGTCCCGACCATGTGCAACCCTCGGCAGCGAAGGCCTAGACTACGTAAAAGGCCGATGCAAGGCTTTGCCTGAGATATCTGCTCTTCAAGTTTTCATGAAGAAGTACAAGCTGTCTTGGTGGGCAATTTGCAATGTTTAGCGTCTAGCGCTTGCTGGAGAAAGCTGATTTGAGATCCAGCTACTCTCACAGGAAGGAGAAGACACCAGCAGCTGCTGGTGCCAGTTCATCGCAAAGCAACTGTTCAAAACAAGCACAAAAGATCAAGATCCAAAAGGCTACGCAAGCCTAGACACCAGGCCTGGCTTGTTCTGGGAGTTCACCCAGGCCGCCGCCACACAGCTCATGGTCTCCTGGGTGACGAAGGCTCTAACCCAGGTTTGTACAGGGAAAGCTTGCACGTCCCATTTTCAAGCCGACTCAGTTGAGGCGATTAAGTTCGCTTGTGGAATCGGCCTCTCACCCAGCCATGTTCAAAGCCGAGCTTAAAGCTTACACCGAGCTGGCCTAGCTTGGCGGTTTCAGAGATTTGGCGTGGAGACATCGAAGTCGAAATATGTCGAAACCGAAACCTGTACCTTGAAGACGAAGGTGGTCTCACTTTGCTGTCGACCCGGTGTGATCCGGAGCTTATGCGTCAGGATTGGGTCACACATTAACCTGGGTTCAACCTGGGTTAAGAACCCAGGTTCGAACCCAAACTATTGAACTATGAGTGTCGAACCCAGATTGAACCTGATCCCCCCCATGGCGGATTAGGGTGGGAAGTCCAGCTTGACTGCATGGGTTGTTGGGGGTATTTGGGGGTGTTCGAACCCGGGTTCAGAACAAAAAGTTCCGAACCGGGTTCGAACACACATGATAAACACCCGACCCGAGACTCCCCTTCAAATGGTGCGGTTCCGAGATGTCAGCTTGGGTTCAGGGTCATTCAGGGAAAGCCATGCAAGCTCAGGAGCAAAGTTCTCTGGCCTGGAGGTAAAGCGCTCTGACCAACCTGCGCTGACCCTGCAGTCGAGCCCACCACCTAATCCTAAACCATGCTAGAGACGGCAACTCCCAATGTCCCAGAACTTCTGAAAGCCCTGACAAATCTGGAGCGGCCTGAAATAAGGTTTGGACCATGGGGGACCCTACTGCGCCCTACTGTTCAGCCGGATGCCATTAAGGCCCGGGAGCAGGAGGCCCGAAGGCTCTGGCCATGTTCGAAGCTGGATGGCAGCGGAACTTTTCGCAGCACCTGAGAGCCATGGAGATCTGTCTTGGCTTGGCATGGTTTGGCCAGGGCTCTCTGGCGGCGTGGTCAGACCTCTTGCAACCAAAATATTCAGGAGCCTCATTTCCTCACAGTTCCACAACTCAGAGCTCCCAATCCTCTACTGAATGCCTTCTCCCTTGTGACCCGCTTTGCAGCCGCGAGCACCATGCCTTCACCAGGACCAAACTTCCACCGGTGGTTGTCCATGTCCCGGCAGCTGCCGGTATAAGCATTGTTTGTGATCACATTGTAGTCCTGGATCACACATATCGTGTTTGCCCAAACTTGGAAAGCCCCAAATATCCCATGGTCCCACCTTACGCAACCTCAGGAAACGGTGTTTCAAAGCCAAGCTTCCAAACACCGGTTTGTTTTCTTCACACGCAGATATACGCCATCGAAGTAGAACTTCTGGCTGTCACTGCCATCGCAGGCAGACATGCGCAGGTTGCCGTTGTCTAGGGCTTCTTCCAGGCATTTGTCGTCATGCTCAGTCATCAACTGCTCGCCGCTGAAGTACCACAGCTGTGTGGACTGCTCCTCGCAGTTCATGTTCCCCACACTATTATTCGACCACCTGCCCAAGCAACGACCTTCACCCACGGTGATCTGCCTGCTGTTGTGGATGTTCGTGCCGAAGTGCCACCTTAGACTGCCGCTGTTGGGGCAGCTGCTCATGAAGATCTTGCCGGGCCTGCCGCCGCTCTGCGGTAGGACCTCAGAATCTCAAGAAAACTCGAAAGCTCCCGGGGGTGGGAATGGTTGAGTGGCATCCTAAGTATATGCATGTCCCTTTTTCAATTTTCCTGTCTATGCAACGACCGTATGAATGCCGCTCGCATCCCCATTTCGGCATGGCAAGGCCAACTCTCGAATGGGCCAAGCTGCATCCATGCAGGTGTCATCTTTCTTGGTTCGGATATTCGGACCATCGAAGAAGAACTTCTGGTTGCTGCCATCGTGGCATTCCCACATATGCCTTCATCACGTCAGTCTAGACGACAACTCTAGAAGCTTTCACGAGTTTGTTCCGAAGCCCGATCTGCCAAACCATGCCGTGGACTGGACGACAGAAGCCTGTCACTGCAGCCATCCGCAGGCTTCGAGATTTGATACCCTGACTAAAATTTACGGCTCGTGTCCGGATTCTAGCTGAAATGGAAGAAGAAGAAGAAGAAGAAGAAGAAGAAGAATCGCCCCTCCCCTCCTAAAAGCCTCTGCGTTCCTGGGCGAGGCGGGCGACACAGAGTGTTACTGAAATGCATAAAAAACCCAGAGCCGGGCAGGAGCCAAATAAGTCCCTCCTTTGGAAGACTGCATCAACACGTTAACCCGGTGTGCTGGAACGCTGGGGCAAGCTTGGAAGGCCCGCAACATGCTGCGTGCAAGTCACACGATCCATGGGGAGCCGTAGTCCACACACCTGCCAGGTCCACGCTCGGACGAAATTCCAGAGGTCTAGTTCGGGTCACTTGGAACCTACACAAGTACCATAAGCGTACAGGCTTGCTTGGGTGTTTGACAGTTTGGGAGCATGGATTAATGTCTCTGGGGGTTGGGACGAGATTCATTATATGAGCTCTGTGATGTAAGAGGACCGTCCAGCTACTTAGAAGGTTTAAGTTAGCACCAAGCCCAGGTGCAAATGCGCGTCCCTTTCGAGCTTGAGCTGCTCCCCGTCGAGGATGAACCGCTGGTTGTCATTCCCATGGCAATCGTACCTTGCAATTTGTTTCCCCGACCGACGAAACACAACTTCACTGTGAATCTTAATCCCTGACACTGGACCAAGAAGACCAGAAGCTTGCCAGAGTGAGATCGGGAGGCATCGTTTCTCACATGCATTCTTTCTCGACAAGAGCATGGTATGAATGGTTGCTTTTGCGGCTTCATGTAGTCTGGTGGACTGGGGCTGCGGTTGGCCCAGGGATGTTTCAGGCACATGTGCTTATGGTTCTTGAGGTCGGGTCATATCGGCGCCTGAGAGTGGCAGGGAGTTAGGATTAGAGGGTCTTTCCGTGATGGTCCTGACGTGGAGAGCTGCATTTTCAGATTGCATTCATAAATCCAGGAAAAGGCAAAATGATTCTTACGTCTGATTGCATCTGATGCACTCTCCTAACTCAACAACTAGCAGTTGTTCCGAAAAAATCGACAATTTTCTCCTAGTCTACAAGACCTGCCCAATGCTGCCTGTAATTGCGGATTTGGCTGTCCGCTCAGACCATGTGAGTTCGCGCGAGGCTTCCAAGTTAGAGTCGACTTGTCAGTCTTGTCAGGGTAATCGAGTTATATTGAGTTGTTCAAGGGCCCTTGGGGGTAATTGGCCACCTCACAACTGCAAGAAGAAAGCATGAAAGCGTTCACACCTGAAAGCCGGCCAAGGTGCTCGTATAGCACGCGATCAAAGACATCCAGGCACTTGCTTCTCCCATTGTCTCAGCAAGCAAGAACATCTTGAGGATCGGAAAGACGCTGGAGGACATAGGGGGAAGGGAGCATACTAAGTAGACGAGGGCTGCACACCTCCTACAGCGTGAAAAACATGAAGAAACCCCGTGCAAGGCCCTGGGCTCTGAGTCTCGAAGTTGGCTCGACTTGGGGTGAACGGGTGAACCGGTGAACCCTCAGAGCCCCGATAGTGCACACGCGTTACATAAGAGAACCCGCGCCACAAAGTGCAGACATTGAAGCGTCAAATCACCTGCATGAAGACGTCAGGTTACGCGGACAACATACAAAACCCGCTGCGCGCAGTAGAGACAAGACTCTAGGTACTCTACAGAATGAGGAATAGATGCTTTGCATTCAACAAGGCAGAGATTGTGAGCACCAAAGCGAGTCGGCGCATGGAGATGATCACAAACTTAACTCTCCAACACTGTCACCGCCAGCGACGTCATGACCGTAATGCGATAAGCAGAAAACCAACACCAAACCAACACCAAACCAACACCAAACCAACACCAGACCGAATCCAGGGATGCGGCCGGGAGGCCGATGGTCCTCCCAGCGTAGCGTGGTAAGTCAAACTCGAACCTCTGGTTGTTCAAGTGGTGGCAGGTACCCATGTACACCTTAGGCCCGGATAGGGAATCCGGGAAGCATGGTCAGGAGCGCGGCAACGAGAACCATCGCTATTTGCAGCTATCGTCATTCCAGCCATCATACTGATCATGCCCGGGCCAGGTGAGCATCGGACCGACTTGTAACATCCAGGGAGGGCTTCTACTACGGCTGCTACAAGAAAAACGGGTATGATTCCCTGACACTATACATCAAAGCAAACATACGTGGAGCGAACACCCACACAGTTGCACATCTCGATCTGTCCGAATGAACCCTTGGACCCTAGCCCAAGACTTGCTGACACACCCTCAAACAGCGGCATCACAAACAATCTCGACTCTCGAATGTGAACACAGTAAGGGATCAAGGTCACATGGCAGCCGGCCACCATGTGTCAGCTCTTGGCTCCAGGTTCACGGGGTACAGTTGTCACAGGTTTAATGGCTTCTGTTCGGGTCAAGTGGCGGTATAGTCCGACGCCTGGTCCATGCACTTGTCCATGTCACTGCGCACCTTTTGGTAAAAGTGCAGGATCCAGGTGCCAAGGGACAAAGGCTCACACTCTTTCGGGCTAGGACGGAAGGTTCCAAAGTCTAAAGACTTAGTGCCTGAGCCAGCGCAAGGTCTCGAATTTCCTTTGGGAACCGTTTTGGGGATCTTCCAGTGGTGTATTGGCGCTGCGAGTCTGTTCTTCACACAAGGGTGTCTCATTCGAAGAAGTTCTAGGGTCCACATGGGGTGTGATTCGGGGTCGTCGTCATTTGCACTTCGATGGATTCGGAAGCTGAAGCTGTGAATTGGTCTTCAGGGTTTCAGGGACAAATATCGCCTTGCAGCTGGAGTACTTTGCGAGCCGAGAGAGGGCGCCTACAGAACTTGCGGGAGCCTTCAGCGCGTCGTCGGCCGCCCAAACGAACTTCTGGTCGAGCGTATCCCGGCAGTCACGCATGATGAGGGTGCCCCGAATGCCCAGACCCTGAGATTGGACTTCGGTGGGGTTGTACTCGAGATCGGGAAGAGCCATAAAACCGAGTTTCTACGGCAGTCAGGGGCAATGCTACAACAAATGCTACAAGCCGAAAAGAATGATCTGTCTTGGCTCCTCCTGGTCAACAACTATGAAGCCCTGATATGCCCTGATCCTCCATGCTGTCAGTCAAAAGAGAGGCGAAACTAGCTTCCACTTATTAGCAACGGTGACACTGCACCGTACTACCACTCAGAAAAGCAGGACTTATGAGAACCATAGAATTGGATCCTAGACACAACTATGAAATGGCCAAACAGCATGCTTTCATGTGCTTCCTGAACTCTCTCCCTCGATATAATTCACCTCTCAAACCGCAACTCCCGAAACGTGGTCCAGCTCGGGCGTCTGACGCCCACTCCACGCACTTGGCACTGCCGTAGTGGCTAGAGCTCAACCTGACATCAGTCAACAATCCGAACATCACATTGTGGTCTTACAGGACAGTTAGGACTAGCCGTTCAAGGAATTTAGGGATCTACTGCTAGGATGGAGAGAACGGGACTCCGGACCTTCTTGAGCATGCTGCTAAGCCGGATTTAAACTTGTTGACAATGAATGTGTAAGTAGTTGGAGCCTGCACACAGCTCTATCTGCATGTCTTCGTCCTGGGCCCAGTGCAGCCTTACATATGCTGTGCTTGTTTCAGAGCTCATGCACGGTTCAAAAATGGAATTCCATTCTCGCATCTTGCTTTCCAAAACCATCCCGCAACGACATGTGCCCAAACGACAACTGAAGATCCCCAGCAGTTGAAGCCGAACAGTTGCACCGAAGGTTCTTACGTGCCACCAGGTAACGCATAACCTTGGAAATACCAATTCTGGTTGGCTCTTCCATTGCATTCAGCAAAGTTGACGTAGTCTGTGCTCAAATCCACTTGCAAGCCTCACTCTGGCTGTCGTGGCGGCGAGTTGCTTTGGCTGAAAAGCGGATTCGTTGGCTTTCGGGGCCAATGGTGAAGAGTAATCCGGCTGGGAGAGCAGAACACTACGGACCACTGCAATGATTTGGCATTCTCAAGTATGATTTCGGGCCTCTCCATGTGAGAGCCGATGAATATCTCAACACGGACCTGTCTCGAGGCTAGGAAGAAAGAACCGTACAGCAGATGCCCCACAATCACGTCAAAGACCTGCTTGTTCCCAACTGATTGAGGCAGAGAAAGCTGGCACAAACATCCGACTAACGATCTCAGGTGATAGATGCATGAAACCGAAATCTCTGGTAGCAACCCACACCATCCACATGCTTGCAACTTCAATCGTTTAGCAGGAACGTCCTTGCCATTTTGCAAATTTGAGTCAAGGCTCAACGCTCATTGGCACGAATCTTGATCCTTTGCTGCGGTACGTCGCCTTTGACCCGCTAAGCCTTTGGTTGCACCTTTGTCTGAAAGCACTATCTGAGTCCAGTCCCCCACAAAAAGCCAAATTTGCGGACTCCTTGAGATTTCCAATCCTGCAACAGCTAGCAGCTACTGCTGCCGGGGGGAGGGGGGGAAGGATAGCATCTGACGGGTGGATCGGCTGACTCGCCGGGCGGAACCCGGACCCTGGGGGGAACTGGGGGGAAAAACGGGCAGATAGATACATGGCGTCTGACTGGCGGACCCTCCAACAAACGAACCTGTACCCGCCCACCCCACATCCGAGGAAGTTGCTGACGGGCGGAGCTGATGGTGGAGCCTTTCCCAACTAACTGACCAACCTAAGACCAACCTAGGTTTCTGGTGCGTGGACCCAAACTAACCCGCCACGGGGCCCTGACGGGCGGAGCAGTCGGGCATCTGACGGGCGGACCCTCAAACTAACGCACTATACCCCCTGTCCCGGCTGGGAGTTGCTGGCTGTCTGACGGCCGGACCCTCTAACACCATCTGAATCAGACAGCCCCCTCCCCCCCCCCCCCCCCCCCCCCCCCCCCCCCGGCCCCCCCCCCCCCCCCCCGGCAAGAAAACCCAACCCATCAGTTTTTCCAGGGCTCCTCCGAGGTATTTCGAAGTTGAACTTCTGGTTCGCTCCTTCATGGCATACGCCCATGTATAGCACCTGGGAACACTTCTACCGGGAACTGCCCCCCGATTTTGTGAAAATAGCTGATCATGGGCTCATCCGCACAGGCAGTTTGTGGAGGGTGGTCTAACATGCTCCTTGACCTTCGACCGCCCTGTAATCCCGGACACGCACAGCTATGCTTGGTTAGGGCGTTTTGTCGTTTGCAGGACATTGTAAGTGGCTCTTCCGGGGTTAGCGGAAAGTGTTTGGCGAAGGGGTTGCTAAATCGATATCCTACCGCAGCTAAAACTCAAGGTCAAACATGAGCTGGCTACCTGGCTAGCTAGGGCACCATTCACTTCACAAACAATACAGCAAGCTGCTTCGGTCATTTGGATGCAGCAGAGAGAAACAACAACGACAGAACGATTCCACCCCTGCACCAGGCCTTTTCGTTGTAATTGTAGTCCACGCACTTGCCACCCCACGCTCTGTTCTTCAACCTGAAGGTTGAGAGATCAAGACACAAAGGAAGATGGCTTCGGGACATTGGGAAATATCAAAGTATCCGCCGACCCCTAGGGGGGCGGCGTCAGTGAAGACCCATTGCCCCTACCACCACCTCCACCCCATCCAAAGCTCGACCGGCCCCCAGTGCATGCCCGCCCGCTTGCCCTACCCCCACCACCCACGCACCCCGCCCCCCGCTCCTTCCCTTGCCCAAGCCCCCCACGCACCCCGCCATGCTTCTCATGGACCCATGGCTCCTCCCAGTGCATGCCCACCCGCTTGCCCTACCCCCACCACCCACGCACCCGCCCCCCGCCCATCCGCCCTTCCCGGCCCGCTCCGCCCTCCGCCCTTCCAGCTCCGCCTACTCCCCCCTTGACGCATGCTCCCACTCTCCATCCCCTCGACCTCCCCCGCTTGGCCCGCTTGCCCTATCCCCAGCCCCCGTTCATCCGCCCTTCCCGCTCCCATACGCCCCCTCTTGCCCAAGCCCCCCACGCACCCCGCCATGCTTCTCATGGACATGGCTCCTGGTCCCATTCTTCATCTCTCGACCTGCACGGCTGCCAATGCTGGTCCTATATATGGCCCTGCTCCACCCCCACCCCCAACCCCCCCTCGCTTCCTCGCTCCCTCACTCCCCCACTTTTCCATTCTCTCACTTCCCCGCCCTTTCTTACTTTCACTCCCCATTTCACCCCACTCCCACGCTCCACCCCCACCTCCCATCCCTCACTCGCGTGTGGCTTCTTAGCTGACTTTAAAGGGCCCCAATGCATGACCGCCCCCTGCGCCCGCTCCGCCCGCTCCGCCCTCCGCCTACTCCCCTCTGTGCTCCCCCTCTCCATCCCCTTGACCTACCCCTCATGGACCCAGCTCCCTACCCCTTACCCCTCACGCACCCTGCCCCGCCGCCCATGCCCCTCGTGGACCCAATGGCCCCATTGGCTCATGGTCCACGGCCCCTATGTGTGGCTTCTCCGCCCCGACCTCCCCCACCCCACCCCCCCCCGCAAGCCCCCCCACCCCGCCCCCCAACCCATCACCCCCTGGCCCCCAACCCCCATGATCCCCATGGACTGGCCCCATTAGATGATTCAGGGCTTAAAGGGCTCCAGTGCATGCCCCCCCCCACCCCCACCCCACCACCCCCCCCCCCACCCCCCTTGTGCCCCATGCCCTTGAAAGCTAATTCTTAAGGGCTCAGTGCATGCCCGCGCCCCCTCCATTTCCCCGCCTGTCACCCCCCCCCCCCTGCCCCCCCCCCACCCCCCCCCCCCCCCCCCCACCCCCCCCCACCCCCCACCCCCACCCCCCCCCCACCCTACCGACCCCCGCCCCCCCCCCCCCCCCTCCCCACCCCCCCCCACCCCAAAGCACATCAGAGGACTGTCTTGTTGGGTCTGGGGTCGGCGGCACTGGCGGTAGCCATTAAATCGGGCAGCGCGAGGTCCCCAAAGGACCGAGCAAATGCGGACCTTTTAGCCCGGGTCGTCCCGGGAATAGCCTTGCTGGCCTCTGGCCTTCTGCGAAGCAGAATTAGGCCGGACGCCAGTGCCGCCGCCCCCCGCGTGCCGCCGGTGAACGGTTTTTTTTCGTGGTTTTTTGCGTCGCCACGGAGGCCCCCAGAGGGCGCGCATCATGAGCATCAGCGGGTCCAGCCCGGGACCCCCAGGCGCGCATCAGGAGCATCAGCGGCTCCCGGGGCGGGACCGCGGGGGGGCATCAGGAGCATGATGCCCCCCAAAGGGCGAAGCATAAGCGACGTGTCTATGCCCGGGGCTAGGAAAAAGGGAGTTTAGGGGCCTTATAAAGTGCTTAGAAACGTTAAGGGAGTCTCGGAGCCTCAAACGCTTAGAGATTTGAAGGGAGTTTAGGGGCCTGAAAATGCTTAGAAACTTAACGCTTAGAGATTTTAAGGGAGTATAGGGGCCTCAACATGCTTAGAAACTGCTCGCCCCGGGCTTCTGCGTGCGCTGCCCGCCCATGGGCGCAGCCCCTTAAAATAAGATTAGAAGAATATAAGACTGTATAGGACTGTTGCGAAGGTCCCATAGGAGCAGGCTTGGATCTTCGGTTTTGGGGCATACAGTCGTGCCGCAGCCAGGAAATGGAGACGGTTTGAGGTGACGCGGCGTTCGGGCAATAGCCTGCGAGAACGACGACATGATGGACAGCTCTTGATCTGTACTCTATTCAATTTGGCACAAATACACATGAGGCTGGTCACGGAGATGATGACATCATGACAACAATGCTGCTGCTGTTATTGTTGCTGCTGCTAATGAAAATGAAATGTTGTTGCTGCTGCGGCTGCTGCTGCGGCTGCTGCGGCTGCTGCGGCTGCTGCGGCTGCTGCGGCTGCTGTGGCTGCTGCGGCGGCTGCTGCTGCGGCTGCTGCGGCGGCTGCTGCGG